TTAAATCTGATTACAGGTTAGATTAATATTTATGGTTCTGGGGAAAGGAAGATAGTCTCTTAAACTCCGTAAAATCCAACAATGAGATTATATTGTTTATAGCTAACGTTAAAGTACTGCATTTTAAAGGACAGATTTTTTTTTTTTTAAATAATGGTAAGCCTTAAAGTGTTCAGTAGTTTATCTCTTATTGACTGAAATATCCTACAGATAATGATTGGATAAATTCAGTCGACATTAAATGTAACATTTTCTGCTTGATAACTAGCATTTTAAAAGTGAAAGCAGTGTAGATTCCTGTGTTAACGGTTAACATTTCAGCTTCTCTTAAATTTCCTGAAAGAACCCCAGTTGTAGAAGTTGTGACACTTGGTTACTACACATTTGTTAGAAGTTTCATACAAAATGAAGTCAGTATATTTTTCAAAAATCAATTAAAAATAAGTCATGCCTTAATTCTTCAACTGGAGTCATTGGCGTAACAGAGGGAAACAGGAAAATAATTTGGTATGGTCTGTGTATGTGTGAGTGTGTATGTGTGTACACGTACTAGGTACTGATGTGCAAATGAGCCCTTATAACCAATAATTTAATGAATTATTTTGTATTTCTGTTGTAAATGATCTGTCTGCCACGTTTTCTAGGAACTTTAACCTTAAGGCAGAACTCAAGGATTTTGGAGCCTGTATAAAATAGTGTATAGCACCTTTCCAGTAAGTCTTGCCCAAACTCTTATTCTATTAATTAAATATACTGTGGCAATCTGGTATATCTTAAAGATTTAAAAGTATGTATAGCAGAAGACTAGAAAACATCGACTATTAAAGCTGAAGAAAATTAACTTTTCTTTAAGAAAAAGAAGAAATGTTTGTTCTGGAGATCAGTTTTTTCTTGCTGTGAAGATACAGTCTTTTAGCATGGTCATGTTCTCTGCTTGAATGAGATTGTACTGTTGGGTTCCTACACTATGAAATGTCTGTTTTAAATACAGAAATCTTCTCATGGTTTTCAGGGGAAGCAGTGGACACACGGTTCTGTGGGGACAGCCCCATCGATCATGGTGCTGGGCGAAGGGAGTGCCCCATCATATTGACATGATATGAAATCTTGTTAAAAGCCAACTGCCTCTTTTAGCTATGTTTAGTGAACAGATATGTGGACTCTTATCAGATGATAATTACTGTTGGCAAGATATTTTAAATGTATTTTTTGCTGTAAAATGAAATGATGATGAAACTGATTAAATTTGAAAAAAATTGTTACTTAAATTAGGGAAGGTGCCTGAGAGAAAGATAAGTAAAGAAGATTGTTCCATGTATCAGTATATTATGTTTTTAATTTTCTATGAGAGATAATTTTTAGGGAAAAAGCTTCACACATGCTGATAATTCTATTCTTGCTGCCAATTGCCTCAGCAAATTGTTATATTACTTTCTTTCATGGAAGTACTCTCATCTGCAGATTTTCATGTTGAAAGCTGTTTGGTGACACTGCATTTGGTGGTGAGTGTATGAATGTGAGAAGGTGTTTTGGAACATTAGCAATTATACATAGCATTGGATGGTGGATAAAGAAAGAGATATATAAATATTAGACCAATGCAGTTTTCCAGTGTATGTTATTTTCCATATAAAGATATAGTACATTTCATAAAATGTTCCCAGACCATTTAAAACTCAAAGAAATGCAGCTGACGCAATGAAATACATAGAGTACTTGTAAAAACATACAGACATGCAAGTGGATTGCTGCCAGACAGAAAATTTAAAGGCGGTTTGCTTAACTGCAGGGTGCTAGGTTTTGTACATGTTCCATGCTGAAACTGTTAGTAAGGCGGGTGTTGTGTTGCTTGAGAAAAGCAGATTGTATTTGGACCTTTTTAACTCAGATGTTTCCAATGTCGATATTTTGGTGACATTATGGCATTGTGATCAACTCAATGTGAAAAAAATTTCAACCTCTTGTGCAAAATAGACATTTTAAGAAAATTCCAATAAATTATTTGCAGTCTCTGTGTTAATTTTTACAAAATGGCTTTCATAGGTTTATTAACTATCAGACTGCATCTTTGAGGTAATTGAATGGAACTTAATAGGCTGGAGTTTGTTTTTTTAAAAGCATTGCCTTTTTTTTTTTTAAACATTGTTTTAGAGATTTTTCAGGACCCATGAAGTTTGTTTTTGTAACTCTCAGGAGCCTCAAGGGCATAAAACTGAAAAAAAATTTTGGGCTTGAATTGTCATAAGTAATAATGTGGATATGCCCTTGGAACATTATTTTGTTAAAATCTGGGACTTTCATTTTAGGGATATTCTTAAGGATAGTTGAAAAAATTTAATTGACCATGTTTATGTTGCCTACTATGTAGGTAGTGTTTAGGATGATACAGTTGGAATGGCCTACATTTGGCATGCCAGAGTCATCTTTACTTTCAGAGTGTAAAGATGGGTTGATTTTTCTTTTCATCTATTTTTCCTGTCTTAAATTCTGCTATGTTGTATATATGAATAAAACTTATTTTTCTGGTGACACATTTCTTATTAACATGGTTTCTTTTTTTTGGTACTGGGGTTCGAACTCAGGACCTTGCGCTTGCAAGGCAGGCACAGTGCCTCTGAGCTAAATCCCTGGCCCTTAACATGGTTTCTTATTAATAGATTTGATTAAAGAGATTTAAGAGCAGTCTCCTACCTATGAACAAGAAACTTAACATCTTTAAAATTGAAGAAAATATCTCGAATTTTTGTTTTTCGTGTTCATTGTCTCATGAAATGGTGATAGAAAAATAAAATCTTTGGTTTTTATTTCCATCAGTGTTTTGTGGTTCCAGAGAAGCACAAACTATTGCAAGAAGGAGGACATGATATTAAAGATTTATGTACGAGTTATTTCTCTGAAATTTTCTAGTTGAAGAGTGTTAACCACATGACAATTGGAAGAAAAAGAATAAGTGAGAGATGATTTTGTGGCTTTCTCAACCTCTGTTTTATGTACCTCAGGGGCTCACAGCTGCATATTTTTGGTTTCTTGACCACATTTTAAGGTATTTGTGTATGTTATAGCCACTGGATTCTTTTTAGGTGCCCCCCCTTCTTCTCACTTTCCTGATCTCCTCTGCCTTGTCCAGCCATTATGATACACTTTTAGAGGGTTTCTGGGTAACATGTTGTCCTTTGGATCCTGCTAGCTAATTCTTCTTTGTAGGCCTACTCTAGGTTGAGCTTCTCTAATCTAGGAGTCTGAAATACTTCTAATTTCTGGTTTTTGGATTTTTGGATTGGGGATGTTCAACCAAAAAGTCTATGCAAATATTCCAAAATCTGAAAAACTCCAAGATCTGTAATTCTTATGGTCCCAAGCATTTCAGATAAGGGTTACTTAAGCTGTAGTACTTTTGCTGTGGTCAGCACCCTCTGGCCTACTTTGTGCAGTTTCAGCTCTTTAGGCGAGTGGTGGTGACGCAATGGCAAGTGTACCGTAGCAGGCTGTTTGTATCATTGAATGCTCTAAAGGGTTCACCATCAGTGCTTTAGTTAGGCCAAAGATTGGCAATAGCTTTTTTCATCTGGCTCACCTAGGCAACCTTGAGTGGTAGTGTAGGTGTTACTCTAGCATTCTGTTAGTCTCAGTCTAGGTATGTTATAGATTCTTTCCTTATAGTTGAGGATAAGAGTAAAGAGCAAAACTGAATCCCAGTTTTTAAGTGAACTAGAAGACAACATAAGAGTTAAAATGGTCTCAACATTTTTGCACCACTCATTTTGGGTAGCTCTATTTGTGATGTGACTTTTTGAATATTCCTGCTTTTGTTGTTAGTCTTGGGGTTTTAAAATTGTCCACTAACTTTATTGACTTGAAAACTCATTTGCTAGAATTTAGTATAATGAGCAAATAGAGTCTTTCTTTTTTTCTCTTCTTGAATCTTTACTGAAGGACAGTGAACTGTTTCTGCATTGTGAAATGGAAGGTTTTAACTTTTTCAGGAATTTACTTGCACAGAGAGGTAAATTGGTATTTTAGTGTGATTTTTACAGATAGATATGAAAAATGAGTAGTATATATTTTGAGATCACTGTGAGATGGGAGACACTCATATACTGTGCTTTTTCATAAGTTTTGCACTGGTACATGATTTCCCAAATAGATATTATTCTGATTCCTCCCACTGATGTGTCTCTGAAGAATCAGATCTTTTTCTTATTAGAAAAGATTGAATGTTTTCCTGATCAATAGTAAACGAAGAGCTAATAGCATTTAATTAGTACACTACTGTATTGATTTACAGACATGGTATTGGATTATCTTGCAATTATGATTTAAGAATCAAATGACCCTTTTAGTAATTCCCTTCTAAGCAGATGGCCAGGAAAGTTTCACCTTTGTATTTTTATAGTTTCTGAACAAGTCTAATTATGTCAGAGAGAACATCATATCACGACACTTGGTTTATACTGACAAGCCAAAAGTGTTGGCTCTATTTTAAAGAAAACTTTAGTTTTTATATGTGTTTTGGGAAGGAGATATTTTATTTTTAAAAGCTCTGAGTTTTTTGCATTTGTTTCTTGAAAGAATTCTTCTCTCATTCTCCTTTTTTCCTCAGTCTGAAACTGGTGCTTAAGGTTTATTAAGCCAACATCTGTAACGATGAAAGGAGGCTGCTGCTGATTAGAGAAGCAAAGTCAAGCAGGTTTAAGACTCATTTTCTCTGGAAAAATATATTGAGGGCAATTTGCAGCTAGCAAGATTTTTTGCATTAGGTAATAGTCTAAAGTTAACAGTAGCATCAGGTCTTTAAAATTTTTCTTTTTTATTTTTCTGGAGGAGGGTAATGGGAGTGCCTTGCCGAGTCCTTCCTTGTGCTCATCAACATAGCAGCCTCAGCTGCCCCCCTTGGATCCCCTGCCAGGGTTGCTATCATCTTCTGATCAAATATTAATGTGTGATCCTCTGCTTGCTCACTAATCCAAAGCCAATTAATATTATCTGTCAATTATTTACAGATCCTGAGGTGCAGAGGCAATTCCCGGAGGACTACAGTGACCAGGTTTGGAATGCGTAATTAATTTTTTACATGACAAAATTTATTTCAGAGTTGTTCAACATATTATTACTGTTCTTTTTACTGAAAGAGATAAATGAATTTTTAGAAGGGAAGAGAAGCAGTAATTAGGAACCAAAGACAAAAAGTAAAACATATTGAAGGAGGTTGAAAATATTAGTGCTAGATTTAGGCTGTTTTCTTTGGGAGAGTTGCACAGAAACTAGGCAAGAAAATCTATCACAAATTTCACTTTTCACTTTGAGGTATGTTACAGTCTGCACTTCGTTAGGAAATCCCTTTTGGATTGCCTGTAAACTTTTTCTTTTCTTTTAATGTTGTTTAAGTAGTCAAGAAGCAATGTAACCAAAAAGCGAGGAAATTTATAATATTTCCTGTAACTTAAAATAGGTGAAAAAACTATTATGGTAGTACTGGAAGAAGAAGATACAAAGGCAGAATGAGTTTTAGGGTGAAGGTGGTTCTAATGATGGTAGTGAAAGTTAAGGTTGGCCAAATCTCAAATTTCTAGTATTCTGCAGAGTTACCCAATAAAATAATTAAATGAAGTTCTGATGTTGTTCTGCTCTTTATAATTAGTTCCAGGTCATACATTCAGGATACCATTTTTTATCTTGAGAAATATTGAAGAGGTTTTATAGCTTTATTTGGCATCTTATATTTCTAGTACAAATAGTTAGGTATACTTTGTATAGCATTTTGAAATAAAAGCATCCTTGATTACACTGAATAAGACAACTTTATAAAACCTTTCACATATGGAATATTGTATACAATCAAAGCGTGTTTCTGAAGCATATCTATTTAATTTTTTCGATTATAAGTCTTTGAATGAGGGTAAATATAGTGAAATAGAAATATCCAGTAGAGAAGCAGTAACACCTTTGCAGTGTGGCCTGTCATATAGAAAGCAAGGTATCTGATCCATCTTTATGCATACAGGGGTCATAATGTGACCAGGAATATAACTGGATCATCAGTATAATGAGATGCATTGTAATGAGAGTTTGTAGTATAAGAACCCAAGAGAACTGATCTGGTTTGCTTTGTGTCTAATCTCAAGACTAAAATAAGATTTAAAAAAATATTAAAATCTTAACACTGCTAAAACTTATACCAGTAGAGTTAATTTTTTTATATCTTTTTAAAAAATTGCTAAAGGATTGAGTCCTTAGAGTGGGAAAGTATTGTTTAGAATACACTTGAGGTCATAGCTCTTAAGAAAATTATTGCTCTAAAATCTTCTGTCTAGGTAAATATCCTTTCTCATGATCTGGATTACACAGTGAGAGAAAGTGTTGTGGGAGAAAACAAAATGGCATAGCTGCTATCTAGGTCTATTCCTTTAAACATAGTTTCCTCCTATATCTGAAACTTTTTAAGCAACATGATATTTTTGTAGTATAACTTTCAAAAATCATGTAGGTAATATGTTCTAACAAAAATGTAGAAAGTATAGATACAGCAAAAATAAATTTAAAAAAGGAATGAAAATATAAATTATCTTATTTTACTACTAAAAGTTAACTACTGTAACAATTTGGTAGTTATCTTTCCATATTTATTTCTTTTGAGTATGCCTATATGTTTATGTGTGTGAGGAGGAAATGTGTGTGTATATATGTACTATATTGTATACGTATGTACAGAGAAACAGACTATTCATCATTACAAATAGAATTCAGTTTGTTGATTGGATATTATGATGTTAGGAATTTAGTGATCTTTACTTTGGTTAATGGATAGTCTTACAAGCATTTCATATGCTGAAGTTGGAATATTTAAAATTATAGTAGAGGGCCAGGGATTTATTAGCTCAGTGGTTCTGCTGCCTGCCTAGCAAGCAGAGGGACCCAAGTTCAATCCCTGGTACCAAAAAAAAAAATATATAGTAGAAACTAAAGAATAGTGATAGCTTAAAAATAGTGATAGCTTTATTTTAAAGGTGCTCAGGGGATAGTGGTGATGTTTCTTTTTTATTCAGATAAGTGACATTGTTTTCAAATTTGGAGAAACATAGTCATGGGCTAGATGTAATTTATAAGAATGTGCACGTCTGGGCCGGGGATTTGGCTCAGTGGCGCCCACGCCTGCGCCTGCCTTGCAAGCACAAGGTCCTAAGTTCGATCCCTGGTACAAAAAAACCCAAACAAACAGGTTTTCACATCATTGTCATATTTAGCATCTTCTCTAATTTGAGACGCATGATTTCCCTTTTTGACCTCAAACGAGTCAAGAAAGGATGATCTATTTTGTTTTTAAAGACATTACCTTCAGATTTCCCCAAATGTTATATCTACTGGTAAAGAGAATGATAACTGTTTATTTCTTGTTTACCTTTCTTATGATTTAGATTCTAGTTTATGTATTTTTTTAATCTTAAAGATCATCTATTCCAATTTTTTGTAGGGTTTTTATCATAAATGCATGTTGGATTTTGT